GTTAGAAGGGGCAAAAAGAGATGCTGACAACTCTGGAAATGGGGCCCTGTGTCCTGCCTCACCCTAGGGTGACAGGACACACATTCCATCAAAATGTGGGGATCTGAAAGACCAGAGACCTGTGCCCACCTCTAGGAAAGCCCAAGAGTCAGAAGTTAGCCACAGCACAGAATTCCCATGCCCCCTGTGGAGTGCATGGGGGTATGGAGGGCTGACCAGAAGTGCCTTTAACAGTTCCTGTAGTGGTGCAGAAGCTGATAGAATGGGGCGTGTGTGTGTGTGAGAGAGAGAGAGAGAGAGAGAGAACTCAAGCCAGAGAATGAGAGAGCAAGAGACAGAGAGAGACCAGGGGCTCAAGCCCACCCAAGCACAGAGGAAGGGCAGGAGAGTTAAGCAGAGGGTTTGTAGCCGGAGGACCAGGATACAGCTGTGTTCTGCCTGGACTGCTGACCAGAGACCACATGGGGACAAGGGCTTCTTAGGGATGCCAGCCAGAGTGGTTAGCTGAGGACAAACTGGGACTTCAGATACTGCAGCCTTCTCCTCACCCCATATCACGTAGATCCCCAGAAAATAGGGAGGAAGAGCCTAAAATGAGACTGAGCTTCTGGCATGTGGAGAAGAATACAGAAAAACACAGTTACACTTCATATACACTGGAGTTTGTGGGCTGAGATCAGTATTCTCCATACTTTCTTTTCTACCTTCCTTCTCTCCTTTCCCATGTAGCCATCTTGAATAAGCTGTGAGTTTTACTCACTGTAATGATTTTTCTAGGTTTAGAAAGTGTTCATTTGCCAGATGTTGGGTCCTCGGCTGGTTTTTAGGGGGCATATCTCAGGATAGTCCAAAGGTAAAGAGCCCCATACCAAATCTGACCCCATTGGACAGTGCACCATGGACAAGGTCTAGTGTAGATTCTTTCCCAGTGTTCTAACTTCATCAACCACCAATGTCTTCTGCACAACCAGATGCAGACAGAGCCCCAAAATAAGGGCACTGAATGTATCCCATCCACCCAGATAAGTAGGAGCTCAGAACAAATAACAAACTTGATTTGGAGAAGCACAAGAAATGTGACATTCAAGAAACCCAAGTATTGTGGTAGATGCAAACTGACATGGCAATGCCCAAAAATTGTGGCAGATGCATACCTGATGTCTGGGTAGTTCATTATTTAATAAAGGTTGTGTGTAGGGAGGGTGTACATTTGTTTTTAGGGGGGGAGGTGGAAAAAAAAGACTATTAAAATTCCCAACTTGGGCGGTGCCTGTGGCTCAGTGAGTAGGGTGCCAGCCCCATATACCGAGGGTGGTGGGTTCAAACTGCAACAACAACAACAACAACAACAAAAATAGCCGGGTATTGTGGCAGGTGCCTGGAGGCCCAGCTATTTGGGAGGCTGAGGCAAGAGAATCACCTAAGCCCAGGAGTTGGAGGTTGCTGTGAGCTGTGACACCACGGCACGCTACTGAGGGCAATAAAGTGAGACTCTGTTTCTAAAAAAAGAAAAAAAAAATTCCCAACTTTACCCTAATGGAGATATCTCCCTTACTCTGGCAATGACATCATAGGACAAAACGTCCTTAAACTGGGTAAGCCTCCATATGGGAAGATTATACTCCAAAGTTCTGGATATTTGAGTTCTCATCAGAACCTGGAGGACATCTCTAGAACTGACTTTGGCCAGGGGATGAAAAGAGTGTGGGCTTTTAAGTTAGGCAGCTCTAAGCTCTAGGTTCTAATCCATTTTTGCCATTTATAACCGTATAAATTGGATAAGTGTCTTTACTAATTTAAGATTATTAAACTTATTATTCCCTCACTTTGGGTAATTGTGTATGTTGTGTGTATATATATATAAATATATAATTTTTTTTTTTGAGACAAAAGTCTCATTCTGTTGCCCAGGCTAGAGTGCTATGGTGTCAGCCTAGCTCACAGCAACCTTAAACTCCTGGGTTCAGGTGATCCTACTGCCTCAGCCTCCCAAATAGCTGGGACCACAGGTGCGTGCTACCAAGCCCCACTAACTAAAGAAAAATGTTTTGTAGAGACAGGGTCTTACTGTGGTCTTACCCAGGCTGGTCTCAAACTTCTGGGCTCATGTGATCCTCCCATCTTACAGGGGGTTGTTGGATTAGAAGAGATAATGTCCTTATAGCACTTAGCTTAGAGTCCAGGAAACAATGGGAGTTCAATAGATGCCAACTGTTGTTATCATTATTAATAATTAATAATGTTAATTCCATCTGTAAGGAGACTAGTGGGAAAGATGGTTTAGCCTTGTTGCCTTTTTCAAAATCCCTTACTCTGTCACCAGCGGGAAGATGGGAAGGCAGTAGGATGTTTTCAATCTACTCGGCACAGATCCATTATGGCGCCTAGCAAAATGCATTACTGGTCATTAGGTGTTGAGCTCAATTTCTTCACAGATTCAAGGCGTAAAATATGATCAAGAGACTCCTAAACTGCAGTGCAGAAATCCCAAGCTGCCACCAATAACCTTTTCCATGATATAAATGCCACTGGCCTGGCCTAGTGCATTTAAGCCACCAGATTCCAATTATCCCCCAGCAGAGCTCCAAGAGCTTCCTTTTCAGAAGACGAAAAGTAATCACAGTTATCATTCTAAATTGCCACCTTTTCTATTCATTTCTACATTATCATAGCATGGGGAGCTCTGCAAGAGCTTGGGTTAAAAATTATCATTTCTATTGTGTATTGTTAGCTATTTTCTGCTATCATGAAAATAGGGACCGCATGTGTTACTGCCAAAGAAGGAAACTTCAATAACAAAATAATTGTCTTTAATATTGTTCTGGTTTGATGGCTCATATCTTTGTTGTATTACTTCTCAGTATTTTTCCATTTTAGGTGGTTTCATTTAAAAAAATATATATATATACACACAGAGGGAGGAGAGACGATGTTTTTGCCCTTTCGGCACAATTGCCAACCCTCAGTTGTAACAAACAGAACCATCTGAGTGATCATATGTTCCACAGATGAGTTTTTTAAATGGTTTTGCAAAGTGAGGTGTAGTGGATATGGGCTGTCACATCTTCCTGGTTGTCACTGCTTGAAAGATTTGTCCTGGTTGTCTAGGCTTTTCTCTTTAAAAACCAGATCTCATCCCAGATTCTCAGAATCTGGCATCTGGACATGCACAAAGCACTGTCAATTACAGGCTACAGTTTATAAAACTATGTAGATGCTATTGTGATGAGAGAAACGCAAGCCAATTAAAACTGTTATGTGGCTCGGCGCCTATAGCTCAACCGGCTAAGGC